TTCCTTTTTTGTAGTAGAGATCATAATATTCTGGTTTATGTACATGTGTATTCTTCGTGAATTTTCGATTTCCAAGTTTACATAAAAAATAACTATTGTTCTTATAAATTGTGCTGGTTATGTGTTAAATTCGATTTTTAAATTTATGACGCTTTGGGTGCAAAATTCTTTTTTATTATTGGCTGAAAATTTACGCATGTATGTTATGAATTGCATATATCTTACTTAGTATTAGCATTTTGGATCGTCCGTGAAAATTGAGAAATCTTAATTATTAGAAAAATAAATCTTTCTATAAAAAGTTAGATTTATAGAACAGTGTTTATGATTATTGGTTTAATATTAAGGAAACAATTCCCAATTATTATTTTAGTATAACAAACAAATCTCGTTATTTATATTTTATTTATTTATATTTAAAAATAAAATAGATAATAGTAGTCCATTAAAAAGGTCAAAGTAAATAAAAAGTCAATCCATTTAGGAGAAAATACATAAAAACTCAAGAATTTTATTTCTGTTTATTTTATTTTCATAAAATTTTTTTGTAAATATTGTATAAATTTTTACTTGTTTTTTCACAATACATTATTCATTATTTCATACATAATTAAATTTCATAAACTCCACATTTCATTATTTCAATTTACAATTAAAATCTTCTTTTCCACGAAAAATCCTCGACTTTTTTAAAAATGGTATCATCTTATTCTATCTCCACAATTAATAATATTAACACAGATAACGATAACACGACTACAAATAATCACTTTGACATTAATCATATTGACAAGAACAATCAGAAAAACCATTCGATTCTACTATTATTAAAAAATCCATCTTTATATTATCAAAAGAATTCCAAATTAAATAGTACTAGTTATTCTGATGATGATTTGTTCTTTATAAATAATATTTATAATGAATTAAAATGTAAATCTTTTAATAAAAATCATTCAGTTTTTAATTATTCACGCGACTTTGACGAATCAAAAATTTTATCACCATCAACAAATTTCAAATCAACGCCAAAAATGTCTAACCAATTTTATTCCCATATGTGTAATGATATAATTAATTCTGAACAAAATAAAGAATTTAAATATCACAGATCTCAATATTCTTACCACTTACAACAACAACAACAACAACAACAACAACAACAACAACAACAACAAGAAGAAGAAGAAGAAGAAGAAGAAAAGGAAGAGGAAGAAGAGGAAGAAGAGGAAGAAGTAATACATTTGAAAAAACAACAAATTCGTAATTTAAATTATTCTACAAATTCTTCAACTTCTTCAAATCACAAAAAGGCAATCAATTTGTCAACCTCGATCTCAAAAGAATATTTATTATACCAAAATGATTTAATTGACATGGAATCTTTCTTAAATAATTATGCTTGTGGTAACTTTGATCCTACAGGAATTCCTAAAAAGCCTAAAAGATTATCATGTGTAAGGTCAATAATTGATGACAATGGTAGCATCGATTTGAATTTGATTTCACCATCATCATCATCTGATGGTAATGACGATGGTCCAAACAACTACAACTATTGCAATAATTTTTTTCTTGATCTTAACGGCAATAGTACTTGTAAAAATTCTAAAAATGATAAAAAAAATAATCTGGATAATAGTTCAAAATTATTCGATGAAGATAATTCTCATCATAAAGACGCTATTGACGACACCTATAATATTTATCTGCCTCCTCCCATGCCACCAAATGAAACTGAACGTATGAGAGCTTTGTAAGTTATATAGATTTGGTTTTTTTAAATTCTTTTTTTTAACTGAATGCTAATTAAATTCTTTTTTTTCGCCATCATGTATTTTTAAAAGATGGAGATTGCAAATATTAAACACTTCAAGTGATGTGAATTTTACTCGTTTAGTAGGTCTAGTAAAAGAACATTTTAAAGTTCCAATTTCATTAATATCTCTGGTAAATGAGTCAAATCAATGGTTCAAAGCTAAAGAAGGTTTGGGAGATGATGGAACACCAAGAGAAGTCAGTTTTTGCGGTCATGCCATATTGCAAGAAGGTGACGAACCATTTGTCGTTCCAGATGCTTTACTAGACTGGAGATTCAAAAATAATCCTTTGGTAGTAGATGCTCCACACATAAGATTTTATGCTGGTGCTCCTTTAAGAACAAATGATGGCTATAATATTGGTACCGTTTGTGTTATAGACACTAAACCATGTTACAGTTTTAACGATAAAGATTGTGAAACTTTGAGGGATTTTGCTAAAGTTGTAATGAGAGAATTGGAATTATGGGCTGATAGATTAAGATTAAGGGTTAGAAATAAGATGCAGGAAAGTATTGCTCAATTTGGTAAATATTGTTTGGAAATTCAATTGGCCCACAAAGAAAATTCTAATAATATCAACAACAACAATAACAACATGATCGAACATGATGAACAAGGTGATCCAATCATGAAGCAATGCTTTCAAAAAGCTGTTAAATTAATCAAAGATACCTTGGAAGTTGATGCGCTCTACTTGCTAGAAATGCCTTCTATGTCTTCAAAACCTATCAACACCTCAACAGACAATCATCATTCTCACTCTTCCTCAAACGAATTCATCTCCTCCACTCTTTTTAATAATTCATCTTCTCCTCAGTCATCATCACTTTTTAAAAATTTGAAATTCCTTGCTGCCGAAGGTCTCCTTGTCATTTCTGGCGACGACGATTCTCTCAACACTCCAATGACCGTTTCTTTCTTAACCCGCTTAATGGAAACTCATCCACAAGGTTACACCTTTCAAAATGGTTTGCCATCTATACCATCTCTATTCCCAAATAATATGCATTCCGGTATCGTGGTGCCAATATATGACAATGCCAAGATTGCTTTTGGCTTTTTAGTTTGTCTCACAAAAGATGCTTTCAGGCAATTTGAAGATGAGGAACGTGTCTATTTGGGTAACTTTGGTGTAAATATTGTTAGCGAAGTGTTGAAAAGACGTGTTATTGTTGCTGATAGAGCCAAAAGCACTTTTATCAGTTCAGTTTCTCACGAGTTAAGAACCCCATTACATGGTATTTTGGCAAGTTGTGAGTTGATGATGGAGGAGAGTAAGTTGAAAGATTCACAGCTTGAATTATTAAAAACTATTCAAGGTTGTGGCACAAGTTTGATTTCTATCATTAATAGTGTATTGGATTATGCAAAATTGGAAAGCGAGCAATATCGCCATAGATCTTTATCAATATCATCTTCTGTACAGTCGCCATTACCATCACCAAACATATCACAAAATAATAACAATAATAATTATTATGATTTTGATAATAACAACTCGTCATCGTCACCGTATACCACAATAATTAATCCTAGAAAACAAGAGAGAATTGATTTGGTTAAAGTATTGGAAGAAGTGACTGAAGCCTGTGTTGTTGGTCAACATATGGTATCTGTTGTTTATGGTGAGAAGAATAACAATAACAACAACGACAACTATTATAACCATCATTTTTATGATGACGATGGTGGTGATAATGATGGTGATAACGATGGTGATGATGATGGTGATGATGATGGTGATGATCTTTATTACAATGATGGTAATCATCTAAATAATAAAAATCCTATAATATCTCCTACAACACAAGCAAGAAGAAGAAGAGTTAGTGAATTGTTACATCATTGTACTCATAAACAGGATCGTAATGAAAGTCATGAAACTGTTGAAGTTATATTGGATGTTGATACAAATGAAAAAGGTTGGGTGGTTATGGGTGAAGATGGTCCTATCAGACAAATGTTAATGAATGTAAGTTTTCTACATATCTGTGTATATATTATGTATTTTGGATTTTTTTGATTGATTGATTAAATTTATTTATTTAATTTAATAATTGCAATTAGATTGTTGGGTAAGTGATATTTTCTAACTAATTATCATTTTTTATTTTTTATTTGATAATCATTAAATCAATTGTCAATCAATCAATCAATCAATTAATGAAATTCAAACTTTTTTATTATTATCGTCATTAGAAATTCACTTAAATTCACTCAAGAAGGTTACGTTCATCTATCATTAACAAGTGTACGATCATGTTCTAACACAAATTGTAACGATACATCATGTTTTCATTCATATTATGAGAACGATAACAATAGTAATACCCAAAGTGACAAAGATGATGATAAATTACATGTTTTATTCACAATAACCGATACGGGTAAAGGTATATCACCTCATTTTCTAAACACCAAATTATTTCAACCATTTTCACAAGAAGACTCGTTAAAAGTTGGTACAGGTTTAGGACTGTGTATAGTGAAATTATTAGTGGAAAAAATGGGCGGTAGATTAGATGTCGAGAGTGAATTATCGGTTGGAACTAGAATTAAAATTTGGTTAAATTTTAATCAAGTACGTCTTCATAATGATGACAATGACAATGATGATGATGATGATAGTAATAAAGATTATAGTAGGAACGAATCTATGAACGTCAACACCATACCAATTATCACTACCACCACCAGTGTTCCAACATCTACTAATCTTAGAAAAGAAGGGACAAAGTTTGAACATGAAACTATTTTAAACGAACTTAAAGAAAAGAATGTTATAGTCAAGTGTGTAAAAGGAAAATTTAAAAAATCAATTGGTCGTTTTTTTAAGAATTGGCTTAAGGTTGAAAATGTGGTTTGTGAAGAATATCCAAGCAAACTTGATGGCGATCTTGTTTTGATAAATGATAATCTGGAGGTTCTAAAAGATTTATTAATGGTGAAAAAAAGAAGCAATGTTGTGAAAACTTCACCATCATCATTATCATCATCGCCATCATCACCATCATGGGTTGATAAACAATACAACGAAGACAACGAAGAAGATGATAAAACAAGCTGTCCAATATTTTTCATTACGTCATTGGCTAGACATAGTAAAATTAGTGATATAATTGAATCAATCCAAAATGAAATTGAACGAAAAAATTCTGCGATATTGAAAAATCAAAGCCAAAATTTAGGGCGAAACCGTAAAAGAAGAAAAATTGTTGTTGTGTCAACACCATGTGGTCCACGAAAATTAATATCAGTCATAATATCATGTTACAAGAAATTAAAAGAAGAGAATAGTAATAGCCTTCTTCTAAATAAACAAATAATGACATCTCCTCAATTTCTTATGACACCACCACCACTAGAAAATGAAGGTAATGGTGGTCACGGTCATTCTAACCAGTTATTAGAGAAATTAATTATTGATCCTCCATTAAGTGCTATTCCCAGTACTACTTATTCATTGAAAAAACGAAAAAATAATGATATTTTATTTGAAAATCATCATCACAACACAAATTATTTAGTTCCAATTTCACCAACTTCACCAATTTCACCAACAACAATAACTTATAATAATAAAGTTGCTGCTAGTAGTACGCCAACATTATCATCACCTTCTTTATCATCTTTATCATCTTTTTCTTAATTCCATAGCTAATACATCCGCTTTCTTCTTTTTTGCGATCATCTTCCTCCTCTAACCTATTGCGGAATTTTTCAACTCCAATCTCTCCATTCTCCGCTTCCTCATATTCAATACAGCGTTTTTTCAAAAATGTAGTTAAAATCATCCTATTAACAGCATTGTCTTCTACGATAAGCACTATTGGAGAACGAGGAGTTGGTGGTGGTTGATTTTCTGCTATTACTTCTAATACTTTATTTGATTGTAAAATGCCATCATCAATTACACTTCCACTAGCACTGCTGCTACTATCTTGATCGGATTCGTACACAAAGGTGGTGGTAGTAGTATGTGAATTTAATTGATTATTGTGTGGTGTTAGGGCTGGTGGGTGTTTGGGTTGAGGGGGAGAGGGAGAAAGTGGGAGAAGGGGGAGGGGGGTGGGAGGAGAGATTTCAGTGATCAAAATTTAGTTGATTATATAATTAACAGTTTTATAATATCCCATTTGTTATCTTTAAGTGATATATAGAATTACCTCTATATAAAAATAGTTAATATGAAACTCATTTACATTAGGTCTACCATGGAACCTAAAAATTATAGCACCATTAGAAGTATTTTGAAGAAGGAACAAGGTGAAAAATTGCTCCTTACATTTTCAAAATAAATGATACTCAGACACTAGAAACTTATCTAAAAAAGAAAGGATTACTTATGAAATTTACTATGAAGAAAGAAAAACAATAAGTGTTAGAAAAAGAAAACATCATGATGATGTATTATTACCTAATAAAAAGCAAAAATCTTTAAAAGGAAAATAACTATCATTTTCTTTGATAGTTGGAATTATACAGAGGGAAATTACTTTCTTATTTTCAATCAAGGTCATTTCTTAGTTGCTTTAATTTCAATTTGTGCAGTTAGTTGAGTCTGCTGTCTCTTTAATTGTTCAACCTCACTTTCAAGTCTTTGAATCTTATCTAATAACTCTTGCTTTTGCTTATTATGCCAATCCTTTGAAACTTCTAAAGCTTCCAAATGAGAACTGTTTTCTTCCTTAGCACTGGATAGTTACTGTTTTAAGCCTTTATTCTGCTATTCCAATCTGCCAACATAACTCTGTGCCATTATTTCTGTTATGGTTGGGGTTTTGACTGGTTCATCTTTCCTTAAATCACAAAAACAATCTATCCTGTTTCTCATAATTCTACCACAATCATTACAATGTGGCAAAGTATTATCATCAAGAGCTTTTTTACACTCAACACAAATATAAGCAATGTCATTGTAATCATTATTGCTTGTATTGTAAGATACTATTTTGTAAGTAGCAGTTAAACTCCTTTCTCTTTCAAAAGGACAGAAATTACAATGCCATTTATCTCCTCTCCCTCAGCTCATTAACTTGGTATTCTAATTTCATGCTATTTATTCTTTTGCAAGATATAGGTTTCAAATTTTTCTCAAGTTATTTCTTTAACTTGGCTAACTTTGTTCTTTACTTTGTTAATTATGAGTTTAAATTTATTTTCTTTCTTTGGTAAAACTGGTAGTTCTTGAAGCTGCTTGTCTGTCAAATATTTCTGTCATGCCACAATATTTTCTAGAACTTTTATTTTTCTCAAAGCTTTTTATAAGTTGTCATCTTTTTCTTTTACTTTGTCTTATTCTCCACTGTTTAGCTACTTCAAGAGCCTCTAAATGACATTCAGATGTTTCCTCCTCTAATTCTAATGCTTCTTCCAACTCCTTTTTCTCTTCTTCTAATGTCTTAATTTTCTCTTCATATTCTTGCTTTTGTTCAGTAAGTTGGTGACTTTTCTCTGTATACCAAACAAAATATTCTAAGCATTTTGAACCTAGTTGATTTGAACTATCAAGAAATCCCTCTAACATTTCTTCAATGGTGATATTGTCAAATCAAATTCTTTTGCAATTATTAGCTCACTCTCTTGTTTCATTAGGATCTACTGCCATTCTTAACTTTCCTTCATCTAATCATTTCTTATTTAATTTCTTCTATCATCATGTTCCTCTAGGAGCATACATACTAACTTTACCATTTTCATCAATAGACTGACCAGTGATATATCAGGTTTTTAATTTAAGTTCTTCTATTTATTGTCCTCTTTCTTGATCTTTATCAGCTAACTGCTTTTCTAAATCAGCAATTTTGTTTAATAGTTCTTTATTTGCTTGTTGT